TAAATGAGGGGCTCCAAAGCCCCCCCCCCCCCCCCGGGGGAGAAACAAACAAAAGGAAAAGAAAAAGAAAAAGAAGGATACGGCCTACTGCCACGGGCCCAATCATTGCTTTTGAACTTTCCACAGATCCTCTGCAGTACTGTCGTGGACCACCAAGGATCTAGGGTTGCCAGATACTTTCACAAAAAATACCTCCCCCTCATGTGGTGGGAAAAAATTGGTTGAGCCAAAAAAAAACCCCAAACCCCCAAACCCTCAAACCTCTGCACAAAAAAAAAAAAAAAAAAAAAAAACCCAACCCACTGCCCCTTTAAACCCCCAAAAAAAAAAAAAAAAACCCCAACCCACTGCGCCTTTAAACCCCCAGGTTCTCCACTCTTCACTTCCCCGCCAGACACAGGGGAAAATGTCCCAAGTGGGCTTCCGACAGAGAGAAACAGGAAATACTGGACATTTTTCTGGACAGAGGCTGCAAATACCAGATTGTCCTGGCCAATACCTGGCAACTCTATAGGGGTCTGTGGCCCACAGGTCGGGAGCCGCTGTGATCCTGCCTTGAGTGACTCAGTTATTAAGTTCTGGTTAATGAGCATTTGAGTCTCCACGGCCAACTCCCTCCTTGGCCTCCAGGCACTGATGGGCAGGAGGTTCCCAGGGGAAGGGCTGTAGGAATCTGCCCACTAGGCACTAGACTGAGACACCAGCTCCCCCCTCCCCAGCCCATTCCCACAGGTCTCCAAACAGCCCTCGTGTGGGACAGACTCTTTGTCCCTGCTGCCCTGAGCTGAATGTGCCCAGTGCCCGGCAGTGACAGGCCCATGTCCCACCCCACAGCCTGGCATAGCCAGTCTCCATGGAGGTGACATGGGTAGAATATACCACAGGCCAGTCTTTGCCTTTCCCTTGGTAATTCCAGAGTCGTCTCTAAAAGGGCAAGGGCCTCAGGATTAAATGGGTCAGATTTGAACCCCAAATGTGATCTCCCTGCACATTCTGCTGTGGAGCCCTGGGGAGAGGCAGCAACAACTTCACTGCCAAGTGTTTCCCCAGCGCTGTGAGGTGTGAGGGGGTGAAAGCCACTGACCTGCTCAAGGTGCTTCTGACATCCTGGAGAGAGAGAGAGAGAGAGTTTCAGTCCCACATGACACACACTGTGAATTCCATGGGAGGGATTTTACCAGTTTGGGAAACTAGGCTTTGCCTGGCCCCAGGGCCATGGATCCCTGAGCGAATGGGGCTTTGCCATCTCTAGTCGCTCTGTGCCTGTGAGTCTGCACAAAACAACAGTTCGCCTGCCAGGAAGGCACTCATGGAGCTCCCCTGTGACCTCTGACTCCTGTGCCCACCTGCTATGGTCTGTCCTGTCTCTGTGGTGGCATCTGGGGAATTTCCCCCTCAGTCTCACCTGCAGGAATTCACTCCCTGGCTTCTGACACTTCCCCTCCAGCTCCCAGATCCGCTCGCTGAGACGGGAAATCTGCACAGAGAGTTTGGTGAGAGTTTCAGTCCGTGCTTTCACTATCATCCTGTCCAGCTTCTCCAGCTGCACCAGCAGAAGTTGCTCTTGTTCCTCCAGGAACTGTTGCAGCTGCTGAAACTCAGCCACAATCTTCTGCCTCTCTGCTACTGTCCATTTCTGGAAGAACAAAAGGAAGAACATCACCACCACCGCTAGGGGGACATGAATGGACCCTGGGGCCCTTTGCAGAGCACTGAATGTGCTGGGGGAAAATCTCTCTGCAAATTCTAAGTCGCCAGACAGTGAAAAGTCTCCAGTGGTTACTAGAAAGAGAATTTTCTCATGTCTTCCCGTTTGGCCCCAGACTCTCATAAAAGACGTTTCTGTGTCTGACGTGCTTTGGATCATGAGTGGCTGATGGCCTCAGCGATGCTGATCCAAAGCAACAGGAAGCAGGACTCAGCACTAGCCCTTGGTGACATTTTCTGCATTTTTTTTCCCTGGGAAAATGCAGATTTGTCACCAAAGACACATTTCATGAATCACTGGCAATGTCACCAGTTGTTGTGCTGCAGAAAAAAATGCATGACCAATCAAAATATTTGCTTAATTTTTTCTAGATTTTAAAGTCTGACTTATTTTTTAAACTGTCCTTGTGTTTTATAACATTATTTGTTAAGAAAATGGTCAAGTTCAAACACAATATTTTGATTTTTGCCAAAAAATTAATTTGACTAAGCAAAAAATCAAATTTGTCATTTGCTAATAATTTTAAAAAATAGATAATCTTTGGTTCAAGCCATTTTTTTAATATGCTGACAGAGAAGAAGATCTGGCATTTGCTCAGCTCTACTCAGAACCACGTTCACAGAGACAGATGGGAAGAAAAAAACAAGTGAATCGGTGAGAGAAAAAGCAGGCACCTAAAGTGAATGAAAGGAATGGAGAAACTGTCAGAACACAAAGGAACTAAGCCAGAAAGGAGCAGAGAAATAGAACTCACCACATGACAGCCGAGAACACGGGGCTTTATTTAAGCTGGAACTGAGAACAGTAAAGATTATACAAGAGGATTCCTCAGGACATAACTAAACATCCTGCAAATTCTGGCTGAGAGAGGCTGGGAACTGAGAAGTAAATGTGTTTCACTGGGGATTTGGTCTACGGCATGGTATTTCCTGATTCCAAATTCTGTTTGTTTATTAATATAAATTGTTGCTTGTGAAGTGAATTTAATTAAGCTCAGGGCCAGATTGAGGCATGGGTGAGCCAGGCAGCTGCCTGGGATGCCAATCGACGGGGGTTCGCCTGATGGTAGCTGAAAGGGGCGCGTGGCGTCCCTTACAGCTGCCATTAGGTGCTGCACACCTGGTTCCCACAGCGCCGGCCCCACAGCGCTGGCCAGCAGTTTCCTTCCCCCCATCGCCACGAGGCCCTGAACAGCCCAGCGCGCATGCCAGCAGTGCTAGCCGGGCCAGGCTGGGCAGCGCATGTGCCGTGTGCCCAGGGGTGGTGCCGTGCGCCTCAGCCCAGGACGCCAAAAGGGCTCGGGCCGGCCCTGGTTAAGCTAATAGTAGTTAACAGACTGTAGATCAAAATAACAGTTTACAGAGGGTGTGACAGCGGTTTCCAACTTGTGGTTTTTGTGCCCCTGGGGACCATGGACCATGTGAACAAAATACATGGATGGAAAAAGACTGGACAGAATTCAGCTGTTCACACAGACTTTCAAAGGAGTCACAGATCCCTCCCTTTGACATTTCTAAAGGGGTTCACAAATGCAGAGAGTTTGGAGGAGACTGGTTTAGGGTCCCACCCTAAGGAGGGATTCTGCTAAAGCAATGAATTGTGATTTCTGGGTGCTCATTCCCTGGCTGATAAAGAGAAACCGTAATCCAATCTCTAGATTGTCCTGGTCGCTCCTTAGTGTCTGATTCAGGATCAGCTCCCTCTGGCTCGCTACAATTGCAGGGTAATAACAATACCAGGCACCTACCAGGTACTCCTGGCTGGTCTCCTCTCTGCTCACTTTCAGTTCCAGCAGCTTTTCTCTTTCAGCTCTCAGAGTCTTCAGATGGGCCTGGAGCCTTTCCTGGAGACGCAGAAACATTTCATGTGACTAAGCAAAAAGTCCAATGTGAGATTTCCTAATAATTAAAAAATAGATAATTTTTGGTTCAACCCATTTCTTTAATGTCCTGCAAGCGAAGATGGGAGGGAAGCTGGCCTAGCACAACCGCGCACTCTATCTACTCACAACTGCAGGGCCCTGCAGGTTTATGGGATCAAAGACACAGAGTCATAGTGATGGACACTGGGAGTGTTTTCAGAGTGTTTGAAATTGTCAGACTTTGTTACAGTAGGGAGCTGGGGTCACATACTCAGAGGCTGCATATGTGGTGGTGGGGGAAGATCTCAGGGGAGGGAGCTGGAGGAGAGAAGGGACACAGCAAGCCTCGGGGACCTCCAGAGAGGCTGGAGGGCGTGGGGACATATGGAGGAGGGACTGAGCCAGGCAGGTGCAGGGTGGAAATATGGTCTGGCGGTCATCATGGGTGGCTGCAGGTGTTTGCAAACAACCCTCTGTGCCCATCCCTCATTACCACCCCTGATTCTTTCTTTATCCACCTGCTGTGTGTCATGTTCATGAGACTGGGACTGGAACTCTCCCTGTGGCTCAGGAGAGGTGGGTGGGGAAGAGGCTGGTCACAGGCTGGCTGGCCCTTTAAAGGGAGGAGCTCTCAGCAGGGTTTCCTGTAAGCCAGACACTTTTGAACATGGCCATAATTACCCTAATAGAGGGGCAGATATGCAGGGCCATTAGCTGCAGAGATGTTCATACTGTACGTGCCCCTCAACAGGTGCCCTATCACCAGGCTGTCCCTGCTTCCTGCAATCCCAGCCCTGATCCTAACAGCTAGATTCACAGGGCAGGAGCTCTTTTCCAGTGCTCCCCCTCAGTCCCATGAGGGCAGGGATCGCAGTCGGCATTTCCCTACCTGGAATTCTTCGGCAGCTTCCTCGGCAGGAATCACGGTGTGACCTTGGTGCCCCTTGGATCGGTCACACACCAGGCAGATGAGGATTTCATCCTCTCTGCAGAAGAGTTTTAGAGGCTCCTGGTGTTTTTCGCACAGTCTCTCTGCAGCTGGTTCCCTCCATGCCTGCAACCTGAGTTCTCTGGCTGCGTCCACAATACTTCTCAGCTGCCTGTTCGGCCTGAGGTTCCCCTGGGGAAAGGTCCGTCTGCACTGGGGGCAAGAGATGTCTGCAGTGAGTCCCCTCCAGCACTGGGTGATGCAGGCTCGGCAGAAGCTGTGATCACAGTCAAGAGACACTGGATTTTTAAAATAATCCAGGCAAATGGGACAGGTCACTTCATCCTGGAGTGTCTTTGCTGGATTTGCAGCAGCCATGGCTTCTGGTGCAGGGGAGCCCAGAGAGTTTAGTCTCACTTCCTTGTGCTTGGAAATGGGCGGGTTGCACTTTGTATCATCAGGTGTTGTCTTTCTGGGTGTGTTCTTGTGCCCTTCCTTTTTTCAGACTCTACAGCACTTTTGCATGAAGTGTGATAAGTCCAAACTGACAGTCACTCCTCCAAAACATATGCCAGGCCCCAAACTTGGGACTAGGCACTTCAGGGTGCATCTACACTGCACCGTTATTTCGGAATACTGGCCATTATTCTGAGATAACAACGCGCTTAGCTACACAGCAAGTCCGTTATTTCGAAAGGACATCAAAATAACAGACAGCTTATTTCGTCTTCTGGAAGCCTCATTCCATGAGGAATAAGGCCTCTTCTGGAACAGCTATTTCAGAATTGCAGTTGTGTGGATGCTCCACTGCTGCTATTTTGAAATAGCCCCTCCCCAGGGCCATTCAAAGTCATTACTCCCCAGTGCTTCCTGGGGGTGTAAATCGAGGTAGCACAACCACATTAGGGGAACATGCCTCGGACTAATTTCAAGGCTTCCCTGTAGTGTGGACGCACTATTTCACAATAAGCTATTTCAGACAATCTCTTCCAGAATAGCTTATTCTGAAGTAAGTGTGCAGGGGAGACGTCCCCCCAGTGAAAAAGGGGTAACAAGCGACTGGGGGTTTCACTGTCTGGTTGGAGGAGGTCTGGGGACAGACAGAGAGGGATGCAGGAGGTGCAGATCCACAAAAAACATACCCCTTGAGTGAATCTTGGTCTTGCCTCTGATTGTGTCCCTCTCCCTCCCAAGCAGTTAATGTACCGGAGATGATATCTACAAAAACATGTTAAGTTAACAGAGTGCACCCCAGCCACAAGCCAATGCCATGAGCAGAACAGATTTCTTTATCAAAAGCAGGTAACACACATAGGAAGAGAGTGTTCCATGGTTAATTGCCTGACCACACCGCTCCAGGGTTGGGGCATTAGGGGCTCACAAACTTTGTCTCTGAGTGAAAGGAGTTAGAAGAATTCTGATCCACTCACTTTTCAATTCCACTGGGTAAGGAAGAACCTCATGTAGAGTTTCTCTGCCTTCAGTTTGGCCAGCACCAGGCGGATCAGGCTGCTTTGGCACCAAACCTCTCGGAGGCTCTTGCCTTTTCCACATAGCAGAGTTCTGTTGACAAAAGGTGCTATTGCATCTACACTGTCCTGTGCATCTACACTCTCACGTCAACAAAGCAGCTTGCTTTGTTAACAGAACTAGATGTAGTCTAGACGCTCTTTGTCGACAAAGGCTTTGTCGACAGTATCTGTCAACAAAGCCTCTGTTGACAAAAGCCTGTAGTCTAGATGTACTCATAGGGTTGGAAGAGACTCAGGAGTCATCGAGTCCAATCCCCTGCTAAAAACAGGACCAACCCCAACTCAATCTTCCCAGCCAGGACTTTGTGAAGCCAGGACTTAAAAACCTATAGGATGGAGATTCCACCACCTCCCAAGGAAACCCATTCCAGTGCTTCACCACCCTCCAGATGTGGCCAGTGCCAAATAAAGGGGAATAATTACTTCCTTATAACTGCTAGCAATGCTCATACTAATACACCCCACTATGCTGTTAGCTGTTTTGTTACAAGGACGCACTGTTGACTCATATCCAGCTTCTCATCCACCGTAATTCCCAGGTAGCTTATGTCTATATTTCTAAATTAAATCAAATGTATGCAAGTCGATTTTTTTAGCACCTGATTTTGTAAAGTTGAAGGTGTATGTCCCAACTATACACATGAGTAGGATGTTGCTTGGCATAGTATGTCCCCGGTGGAGTGGCTATTATTAACTTGACAGCAATGCGCTGTGCATATCTATCCCACTGTTGCTGCCACCGGACAAGGGGATGCAGGCTCAGGGAGGGGGCCTCTAGGCTGGAGAGTGTTGGGGTCAGGTGGAGGGTTCGGGTGCTGAGCAAACCACAAGCTTGTGGATGTGAGGATGCAGGAGTTTGGACTGGGGTGTATGAGAGGCTCAGGGCAGGAGGGGAGCTCAGGACACAAATTTGCATTGTGTGGATGGTGCTGGAGTGTTGTGGTAGAAGACTGAGGATGTGGGGGTGCAGGAGTGCTATCATGCTGCAGCAAAATGGGGGGCCAACACAAATGTTTCAGCATTGTCTTTATTTATGGGAGTGGCAGGGAAACTTTTTTGTCTCAGGGGTCACTGACACACAGAATAATCAGTCAGGGACCACACAAGTGAGATGCAAAAAAAACCCTCCAAAACCCCCCCAAACCTCACTGATGTAGCCCCACTTGAGACACCTCCTTCCCCTGACACTCCAGCCCCATGCGGGGCATGGGGGACCAGGTAGGTTGGATTGAGGGTCAAGGCTTCAGACCAGGGTTAACTCTTCTGGGGTTTCAGAGTTAGTGGATTTTGGGGTCTCCACTAGGCTCTGGGGTGGGTCCAAAAATGGCCAGTGTGTGGGACAGGGGGGCCAGTGAGTGGGATAGGTATGGGGGTGCAGACTCTGGGTGAACAAACGCAATGCAAATTGACTATCTTATTTCGAGCTTAGGGTACTGTGTAGACATTTGAAAGCTTGCCAGGTTCCTTTCTCTTTTTACCTGATCCAATGCGACAAATTCTTGTGATTTCCCTGCTGTGAAATCCTACGCCAATAAATTCATTGTTGAGCTTCTTCTAACTCTCGAATTCTTCTTTATTTATTTGGTGTCTGGCCAGGGAGAAGGGGGCAGCAGCAGGCTGGGGGTGCAGTGGGGGAGAAGGTGTGGGAGGTGCAGGGTCTGCTGCTCCAGTGGGGAAGCCGCCTCTGCCTGCCTTGGGCCAGGCACTCAGGCTGCCTCCTGCCTCACCTGCCTGGTGCTCCAGCCTTGTGGGTCTCCCCCCTTGTAAGATTACAGCTCTAGCACCTGCTTCCTGGAGATTGGGAGAAAGCCCCAAGGCTCCGCGCCTGATGTGGACTGCAGGGAAGTGCATGCACGCACTGGTCTTCTCCCCACAGCAGTGCTTGCACTTCCCTGCAGGCAGCCAACACTGTTACTCTAACCTCCCTCAGCCTCTCCTCATAGGTCATATGCTCCAGCCCCCTAATCATTTTGGTTGCCCTCCGCTGGACCCTCTCCTATGCATCCACATCCTTTTTGTAGTGGGGGGGGTGCTGGTGGGTGTCAGGGTAAGGGGCAGGAACAGGATACTGGTGGGTCTCTAGCAAGTGGGGAGGGGGCAGGAGCATCTCAGCCAGTACCAGGGGGTCTCCAGGGATGAGTATTTCTGGGGCAGGATCTTTAGGCAGTGCTGGAAGAAGTGAATATGCCACTCCTTTAAGAAATCCAGCCACTCCTCTACCCAGTGTCTGGATTCTCTTAGCACCCCCTATCCCCGCCCCATCCCCAGACCCTGCAGTGGGGAAGAAGGGAAAATAAGAAAGTGTGCGCACTGCTGTGGGGAGAGGAGCAGCAGCAGGCATGCTTCCTGACAAGCCAGATCTCACTCAGAGCCTCATGACTCTCTCTCCCCCTCAGAAGCCAGCACTGGCTCCAGTTTTGTGAGGGGTGGGAGGCTGTAGCACCAGCTCAGGCTCCCTGTTGCAGGTAGGGGGAATGAAGGGGACTGGGAATACTGACTGCAAGATCGACAGTCATTGACTGGTTGGTGACCACTGTCTTAGCAGAAAAAGAATGTTTGTCCAACACAATAGGCATGTGTGAGTTATAAGGCAAAAGATATCCTGTAAGCACTCACTATGCAGCAGATATAGCACAGAGATCTCAAAAGAGCAGCTGGACTAGATTTGGTGGCAGGCATGGTAAGGAACAAGTTGGGGCTCACTCTATTGCTTCTGCTTTGAAAACATGTGTGACATAGTGACTGCAGTTCCCGCAGCTAGACAGAGCTTGTGTTTGCAAAGGGGGTCCAGACTGGTGTGGAGACATGGCAGGGATTCACATGGTCACTGTGTGTTCAGCATTCCCCATGTGCTGAAAGAGTGCAACTTCCTCTTTCCACAGGTGGCTTCAGGCAGGAGGGGGGAGGGGGTAGCTGAGCATGGTAGCAAGGCAGGGACTCTTGTGCTCACTGTGTGTTCAGCTGACACCTTCCCCAGGGCCCTAAGCCAGGTGGGAAGGTAGATCCATGCTCCTAAAAGAGGCAAAGTCCAGCGCTCCAGTGGCATTTTAAAGGGCCTGGATGAGATAACATGATCTTGGTAACTAGGGGAATTGGGGAATTATGGGCTGTGGGGGTGTCCAGAGAGTCTGTGAGCAGGAAGGGAGGGATCAACCTTAGCCCTGATGAGGGGATCTGGGCTGTGGAACAGGACGAGGAAGAATTCCAGGCTCTCACCTCCCCTGCGACACCCTTACTCCTGAGCCAGACTCCCCGCAGGATCTGGGTTTGTCTGGACTGTGACTGGGGGAAGGTGACATTTATCGATGCTGCCAACGAGGCCCCGATCTTCACTTTCCCACTGGGCTCCGACCCTGGCTCTGGGTGGGGTGGCTGGAAACCTGTTTCAGACTGTATCCCTGAGACGTATGGGGGGACTCACCCCCTCACATTCTATATCATGTCTCTGTGTGGACTGTCTATGCTGCAGTCTCTATGACCCTGAAAGTTGCTGGAGGTTTCAGTTCGGTGCAGTCTTTGGCCTATTCAACCACAGAGAGCATTGAGTGCAGGGGTGGCAGGTTTGCAGAAAGTTTGGTGGTGCTCAGAATCCCCAGAACCAAACTCTCCCCAACCCTAATTCTCCCTACTCCCACTGTAGCCTATCCGTGGCTGCAAACTGATCTATTCTCTATAACTTTTCACTGTTTTCATTCTATTCTAGCAGTAACGCAAGGACCTATGGGGATCGTATCCTGTTAGAAGTTAGCTTTGGCAGTAGGGTAGATTAATTATAAGTAAGACATAGTATATTTGATATTTTAAAAATATGGCAGTATGAAATTAAATATTAAATATATAAAGAATGTATAGATAAATATCAGAATGTTTTGGGTTAACCACAA